AACATAGCTGGTTTTCAGAAGCACTGTGCACCCAACAGCATCCACTGGCAGCTACGAGAGCAGCTGACTAATGCTCCACGCTTATGAAAAATGTGGCCCCAGTCACACAGAAAAAGCATGGTGAAGCATAGAACAACATAGGCTCTCAGTCCATTCTGTAATCTATTATTATATTTACATTAATACATCTATCAGCAATGGGGGGGGGGGAGGTTTCTAGATTTTTGAAATACTGAACATTTGAAAAGCCAGGATTTGTTTGTGTTCCTGTTCAGCACTTTGACATGGTTATTACTGGGTCCATTTTCCTGCCAGCTCCCTCCTGTTTCATGCCGCATGGTGCTAATAAAATGAGATCACAGAACACTAGAGGAAAGGAAAACAGAAAACTTGCAATATTGCAGGGCCCCATAGGATTCAGTAAATGATGCTTTAAACAAGATCTCTGGGCAGTCAAGGAAGAGAAGGGAGAAGAAAAATAATGACGGCTACAAGTGGTATTATAGTCACAGACAGCAGTGATTTTCAAATATCATTAGTGATTTCCAGGGCTTCAATTTTTGAATGGCTAACTCTAGACACCCTAAATGGGTCTAATTTTCAGAAGAAAACAATGTTTCTGAAAATTAGGACTCTGAGATGTCTCTAGTTTGGGTTGTGAAAAATCAAGTCATTTTTTTAAATGGGGGCCCAATACAGTCTTTCATAAACAAGTAAAACTCTATTAAATGACTCAAGTGGTAAAAACTAATTATTGTCCCACTGAAGATTATAAACCAGAGATGTCTTAACAAGCTGCAGCAGTATATGACTTACTCTTTCAAGAGCTGAGAGTTAATCTGAGAATCAAAAATTCCATTGTTTGGGAATGCATTGTATACAGAAGCTTTGTTGCCTGGATTTGTGCATGTTTCATGAGATAAACTGATCAAACTCCTGTGCCAAAGCCCCAAACCTAAAGCAGCAAAATTCACCCCATCCAGAAAGATCAAGCCATTCTATGCTACTTTACTCCAATTTAATGGTCATCTGAATTTCTGCTTTTTATAATGGTGTTGACTTTTATGTCTTTCCAGCTGAATAATAGGCATCCTGAGAATGTATTGTTAGGGGGAAAGCCAAACAGCACAAGAACATACAATGGTAAAAACCGCAGAGTGAGTAGCGCACATGTTTTTTCACTAATCATATTGAAATGTCATATGCGAAGATGGCCAGAGAGCCTTTTAGCACAAATGGTTTAAATGCATTGCTCAGCATGAAGAATAATGATGCTTCAGTGAATGGGTTATACCTATCATCTTACCAACACATTTTCTATGCCTGTTGAGTATAAAGCCCTCTGCACAGATCACTCTGCGGTTGACACAGTAGAATGATCCCAATGTGTTCACACATAATTGGCTTCTGGAACAATTGTGAGCACCTGTAAGGCACTCATCCAAATCTACATCAACAAGTTGCAACCAAAAGGGAAAAACAGAATTCTATTAGCTTCATTCCTGAAATTATACAGTATTTCTTTCACATTGGAGCTATTTAAATACAGTGTGTTGAACCTACCATGTTAGGTTCACATTACAATTTAAGCAGAGCACTATGTTCAGTGCAAAGGATACAATTAACATTCCAAATTTACCTCAGCTGCCTTGAGGTAATCATGTCGACATTGACATTGGTGAAACAAACTGATCTCCATATTGATTAGATTTAAGTAAGAAATCATAGAGAATAATGTATCCAGGATTTCAAATTCTTGTTTTTGTCCATGGAATTTCTGGGGGTTCCTTGAACTAGGCTAATTCAACTGATACTCAATAGCATTTGAGAATCTATGGGGTGTTTTAACACTGTGGATTGATTGGTAACCATTCTTTGTGAGAGTCCAGAGGATGCTATCCAATCTTAGTTGGTTATGTTTGATTGGATATTTATAATTGATTGATAAGGAAGGTACATTGTATTTGTTCCATGACTGGAAGACTGTGGAAGCACTTCCTATGTGAATATTCAGATGTGTGAAATACAGATTCTGCAAATAATCATGATGTGACTTTTGAAACTCAGTATTTGAAAACACCTAGGCCACATATTCAGATGGTGTAAAGTTCACAGAATTGTGCTGATTTATATCAGCTGAAGAGGTCATTTATGCCAGTGAAACTGAGCTCATTCAAGTGTTCCAGAACAGCAAACACAAAAAGCCCAATGAAAAATCATTTAAAGATTCAGGTAAATATTCACAGATTTCCACTCCTTCCCATTATTTGCTTAGGACCAACTATTACAAATCCTATTTCATATGTGCATTGTAGTTGTAGCCAAATTGGTCCCAGGAGATAAGAGAAAAAAAGGTGGGTGAGGCAATATTTTTCATTGGACTAGCCTCTGCTGATGAGAGAGAGAAACTTTTGAGCCACACAGAGCTATTCTGCAGGTTTGGGAAAGTAACTCCTTAGCATCACAGCAAAACATAAGGAAGAACAGGATGTTTATAGTATGTACTAACGTTGACGGTTTTGCCCCCCACCCCATACTTGACTTACAGATACTAATATGCATAACTCAAAGATGCTTTGAAGAAAATACCTCATGTAACCTATCAGTTTTAATGCCACAGTCTGCTGGATCTGTATATCTTATTTTGGTGTATGTATCATTCTTGTATGTAAAGTTAGCAATATGGAATATGGAATGGTTTATGGTTTTAAATGTGCAAATGAAAGCCATCAAGGGTGTTTCCAGTGCTGGGACACCTCAATGTCAAGGTAATCCCTGTAAACAGCTTCCTTTGTCCTTTAAGTCTAAGCACTGGTTGGTTTTAGGAAGACATGTGACACCCCAACTGGTTGGAACTAACCAGGTAATTTTCCAGGAAAGGGGAGAATGTGAAACAAAGAATGCCCACCCAAAAGGAAGGTTCTTTAAGATGCAAAGTTTTCAGACTCTTGGTCCTTGGCTTGCAGGTCACTCCCAAGAGAATGAACCAGAGATTTTCCCTGGCTTGGCGGTTTAGCCGAAATAACAGTTTTAGGGTGAATTTGCAATAAGCGTTAGTGTGTTAGAACTAGCTATGCATTTTTTGTTATTTTAAATTTGTAATTCACTTTGCTCTGCCTGTTTTCACTTGTAGCCACTTAAATCCTACTGTTTGTATTTAATAAAATCATTTCTATTTACTATCAAGCCAGTGTGAATGATTGTTACCAGGAGGAGCAATCAGTGTGCACATCCTCCTTTCAGAGTGAAAGGGGGCTTACTTGAATGATTTATTTGAGGTTCTGATCCCATTTGGGGGTGGATTCCTGGAAGCTGGGCCCAAAACTGCATTTTCCTCAGACCTGAAGAGTTTCAGTGTCTGTATTACTTTTCACCGGGGAGGCGGTGATCTCAGCTCTGTGCCTTGGCTGGGGGAGATCAGGAGATCTGGCCCAGCACGACAGGGTGGTGAGAAGCCCCAGAGAACAAGGAGGCAGGTGTCAGTGGCTTTATCAGCACTCCGGTAAGCAGCCCTAAGGGATCTTCTGTGACTGCACCCTGTCACACTAACTATTTGCATTAAGGGACCAATCAGAGTAGAGTGACCCATTATCATCTCTGCAGCGATAGGACAAAAAGAAGGGGACAGTGGGTTACAGACTATTGTAATTGTCTGATGACGAGTTACAGTGTATGGGGGTGGTTGAGAAACCTGTGAGTAAGCACCTTAACAAACTTAAAACCACCATCACCAAATAATGACACTTCACCAGAGAAGAGAGAAGGCCACCCAAATACTTCAAGAGAATACTGTTTCCATAGAGAAATAATCCCCACTCTGACTGCACACCCCTCATCCAGTGTACGAAATGGCCCAACAACGCAGGCATTGAACTCCCGCAGGAAAATGATAAAGAGAAAAACACCCACGGTTGAACACTTTTCACAAACTGATCGCTCCATTCTGACCGATCAATCCTCGTCCTCGAAGGAAACCTGAGCAACCTTTGCAAACTTACGTCAAAGGGGTGGTTTTCCTACATCCCTGACCAACAAAAGTTTTACTGACAGAAGTGCTAGTGTAGACAAAGCCTAAAAGTCACAGACTGGACACAGATACTAGATTTATGGCTTATTATAACAGCCCGTTACCCACAATCATTGTTCTAAGCCTGCAAAGGTGTTAACAGACCACTCTACTGCAAAAGCTTCTCTCTCTCACGAACAGAGGTTGGTCGAATAAAAGAAATGACCTCCCCCACTTTGTCTCTCTAAGACCCATTCCAATCACCTAGAAATGCTTCTTCTATCATATAACTTCCCACAGTGAAAATAACCCTGCCTTAGAATCTTGGTTTGAAGGATGGAGTTCCGTCCTCCACAGGTAGAGAGAAGACAGATTTGCAGGAGAGCCTCTCTTAGCTTCCATGCTAGCTCATAGCCTCTGCCATTTTACAACCTCACTTCAGAGTGACAGGGCCATGGATTTGTGCTGTTGTAGACCTCATGGCCAGGCCCCAAATGCTTTTCCTTGGAGGGCCCCCCCCCTCCGATATCATGCAAGCCATGTACGAGCCTCAAGGTCCCAACCTGAATAAGTCAAGTACAAGATGTCGGCAAAGCATCCAAAAAGTAAATGTCACATTTAATAAATAAAAGGGGTAGTAAAACGGTCTTATGTTTAAGAACTGGAATGGTCTGACTAATCTTAACTACTTTCCCATGCACAGTTAGGGAATGCATCTTTAAACACCATGGTGGAAATGGCTGCCTAGGCAACTGTTCAAATGACCTGATGGATGTTGTACGTCATATCTCTGAGATGCTGAAACACTTTTAGCATCCCTAGTGCCATCTGGTTTTAAGTGCAGTAACATTAACTCTCTACTACTGCCTGTAGTTAGCAATTCCAAAAATAGCAGGCCTTAGAGTCCTATCCATGAAGCTCCCAAGACCAACGGGAACCATATAATATGTTTTTAGTCTATTATCTCAGTGGAAACGCTTTAAAACCTACTTACCTTCACAGGAAACGGCATCAGCCATGAGAGCATATCCACCTAAGCACGAGCACACGGCACTGCCTTCTACAACATTACAAAGGTGCTTGCAGGGGCCATTATCTAGACAAAGCAAAGTTTCAAACATTTTAAAATTCACCACAGAAATTACTGAAAGAGCATTGGTACATTCTCTGTCACTGGTACATTCTCCTGCACATCCACCAACGTAATATATGCCATCATGTGCCAACAATGCCCCACTGCTATATACATCGGCCAAACAGGACAGTCCCTACGTAAAAGAATCAATGGACACAAATCTGATATTAGGAATGGCAACATACAAAAACCTGTAGGGGAACACTTCAATCTTCCTGGACACACAATTGCAGATCTAAAAGTAGCCATCCTGCAGCAAAAAAACTTCAGGACCAGACTTCAAAGAGAAACTGCTGAGCTACAGTTCATCTTTAAGTTTGACACAATCAACTCTGGATTAAACAAAGACTGTGAATGGCTTGCTAACTACAAAAGCAGCTTCTATTCTCTTGGAATTCACACCTCCAGATCAGCTGCTAGAAGTGAGCCTCATCCTCCTTGATTGGATCCACCTGGTCATCTCCAGCCTGATCCTGGCCTGCATATTTATTCCTGCCTCTGGAAATTTCCACTACATGCATCTGACGAAGTGGGTCTTTGCCCACGAAAGCTTATGCTCCTACACTTCAGTTAGTCTATAAGGTGCCACAGGACTCTTCGTCGCTTTTGCAGATTCAGACTAACACGGCTACCCCTCTGATACTTGAAAGAGCATTGTTCACCCAAGTATAATACCAGCCATGGCAGTGCAATATGTGAGAAGGAACAAGCTCATCTGATAACCTTCATCTTTACTTACCGTCCTGCTATTATACTCAAACACACCTGTGTGGTTACCACCTGTGTTAAATTATCCTGCGCTGTTCTTCTGATTAAACTAACCTACATAGCACGTGTGTAATAACCTTGAAATTAGAGTCTAACCTCAGACTGCCTCTGCACATTCTCCCTGACAATCCCCTAAACTCCTCAGGCTAACACCAGAGGTAACTTATGTACGGACGCGCACTGACACAAAGTCAGCCAAGGAAGCTTTGGAATTTCATTCCGGGCTCGTAGACAATGTGTCTCCAGCTTGTCTGTCAGACATACCTTTACACTTATTTTGTTCGACTTGTAAAGTCTTAATAGTGGTAGGCTGAATATTGGAGGCTTCTGGAGCAATGGTGGCTTCCACTCCTACGTCAGTGTTCTGTCCATCATCAACATCTGTAATCATATACAAAACAAATACAGAAATGAATGATATTACATAATATCCCTCAAGTACCAGAAGCAAAGATTCCAGGTCAGACGCTTCATTCAGTTATGTTACTTTCTGTAATGTATAAGGTTTCATTTTCAGATGACCTCCATAACTGCTCCTGCAAAAGTCTCAGGGGGTAGCTGTGTTCAAAACTGAAAAAACAACAAATCATTCTGCAGCACCTTAGAGACTAACAAAAATGTAGATAGCATCATGAGCTTTTGTGGGCACAACCCACTTCTTCAGATGAAAGTATATGAAGATACTGAATTGATATCTGTAATCTTAAAACACATTGTGTACAAACAATTGTCCACGTAGCATGTACGCATGCAGAGGGTGGAATGCATAAATGGTCGTGCTCCAGACTTAGAAGGCAAGTAACCTGCTATAAATTTCCTCCACAAAGTTAATTTTTTTCTGGGAAATGTCAGTCTAACATATCACATAATAGCTTATGAATTAAACCATAGACTGCTGCCCTGCTGTGAAGTCAATGTCCATGTCTTAATTCCTAGGGTAAACTGCATGGTCAATATATAAAAATATACATGATCCTCAAACATATGCTGTATATTCTACTAAAATGTAAGTGAAAATAATAGACCCACATTGTATGCACAGTATGCAAGAGAATAACATCCAAATGGGCAAGTAGGAGATTTGGTGACTAACATCTATCATTTTACTTCCATTTCCAAAACAACTTTAAAGGATCAGTGCTCTGCTCTGTTATATCAACAGAAGCAACCTAGTTTGTGTGCGCCCTCTGTTTGCGTCTAAGCTGAAAAAGGCCCAGTTCTGCCCTCAACGTACAGCTCCTGCTGACTTTAGTGGAAGTGGTACACACACACATCTGAGGCACAGTATAATCCACCAGATGTATAGCAATGAAATATGACTGCCTGGGAATACTGCCTGGGGATTTTCAATACAAGTCACAGTTATGTCATGGCTCCCAGTACATTAGAGAGGAAAAGGTATGAGGAAAGGCCCAGGCAATTTCATGAGATAAATCCCAATTTAGATTTCCCAATCTCAGAAAATAAGATACATATGTGTCGATACAGATAGATTTCCTTCCATGAGGTCAAGCTAACCCAGCTAAGAAAACTAAAAGGCACATCACTGATTAAACCTCTGTAAAATCAGAGATTTTCTTTTTCAAAATATTAATAGGAAAACATAAAAAGAAATTGAAACAGAAAAATCAGAGTTCTACAAACTGTTCAGGCAGTTATCCATACCTGAGAGTTCAGGAAACTTATTGGGGACATAGGAGACATATTTAACATGATTGGTTTGTTACACACCTCCTGGGGGGAATATTAAACCGGAAGAGACTGACAGCCATGGCAGGGAGGAAGATTTAGCCAGATATCCAATGACATGGATGGCTCTTCTTGCTGCATACTCAAGAATAATCATGGGCCCTCTCTTCCTTTGGCCCAGCATGAAAATAAGACGTGTAGTGCTGGAGGAGGAGATATTCACTTCGTACTATGGCCAGAAAAAGAAAATAGGAAGATACCACAGCTACTAGATGGCCAACAGGCTATCTGGTGGTGCATTGCAACCTGGCAGAGCAATGAAATATGCATTCTTCCTAAACTCATGTGCAGAGGGGCCCTTTAATCTTGCTTATAGTGCAGCAGTGTCAATGAAATATTGGTACAGAGGCCCTGTCCCAGCTATACCATCTATTGTACCACAGCTTGAGCTCTTTCAGCCTTACGGAATTAATGTTACTGAACGCCTAACTCACATCTGGCATTCCTTGAGGAATGTGACGATTACTTCATCCTGGACTGAGGGTAAAATTTTCAAAAGTAACTAAGTTACTTAAAACACTGCTCTCATTTTCAGAAGTAATTTTGGCCCTTAGAAGCATAAATTCCATTGACTTTCAATCAGGATCTTAAGGGCCAGATTTTCAAACCTAAAAAAATGCAAATAGGCACCTTGTGGAATTTTCAAAAATGCCTAGACAACTGTCTGCATTTTTAGGAATCTATATAACTTTATGAATCTGGCCCTATTTGCCTAAGTCACTTGTGAAAATGGGATTTGCGCTCCTACGCTACATTGGCACTTTTGAAAATCTTAACCTAAATGACTACTGGGCTTTTTAAATTGTACATATGTTCTTAATTATGTTAAGCCTTCCTTCTAATTCTAGGAAGTCACTGATGAGGAAATAATGATGTCTGGAAAATGGTATGCCAATATCCCATTTCCCACTTCCTGTAGGACATTTTTATTTCCTCCGATGAAAACTAAAAGTTAAATGGACACTGAATTTGATCGCATGCATTTTAAAGAAGAGCCCACTTAAAATAGAAGTGACAGAAAAAAAAAGATTTGCCAAGGAAATGATTTGCATATTACATGTGTTATTGTTCTTGAATAGATATGGGCAAACTAATCTATATCTATAATAGATTTGAGTGTCTGTCTGTTGGGCTGCGAGTCCATCTGCCTGCAAGTCTGTTTGTTCAAGAACTCCTCCTAAAAGGTAAGAGCCAGAACCATCAAATGTGGTATACGGCTTCCTCTTATTTTAACTTGAAGCAAGATCAGGTTTTTGTCATGCCAGGAAAATGGGATGTGCCTGGAATTTGATTGTTTTCTATAACATGGAAAGGGAGAGGGCTAATCGGAGGGACAGCCATATTGCAGAGTGACCACAGGAGGGTGGCCACGCCTGCAACAGAGGGGCCAGCTGAGGACAGGGTTTGCCATATTGCCAGCCACCGGGCCGGGTAAGTGACTCTCCAAACAATGTCGGACGGGAGGAGAAGCTCCGCTGCCCACTGGCCCTGTTGACGTGGCCGCTGTGGGAGTACCCCTGAGGTCTGGCAGCAGAGCCCAACCCCCCACAGGAGACACCGGGACTGGGAACTACCCACCCTCCGAAGGAGAGACCCCCCTGGATGAGACCCCCCTCAGAGGAGAGGACTGGTACTGCGACCAGGCCTCCCCATGAGACACCTGGAGTCATGGCTCTTTCACAAGATTTCATGGGTGGAAGATACATGGCTAATTCTCATAGATAACTTTGAAAATCTTCTCAACCAATATCAGGAAAAGATCCCTGACTAAGAACTATAAGATTCGAGAAAAGTGGTGAAGGGTCCATTCCTTGGGTCATTAAAAACTAAACTAATAGACTAGACGACATATCTGCAGGAACAATCTTGCTTATCTAGTTGCTATGACTTCATATTTTTCTCACAAAAATTCTCTCTCTCTCTTTCCTCAACATTGAATTCAAACTCTTTGTTCCAGATAGTATGAGACTAAATAAAATAAAGATGGATAGGTCAGTAAAAGTGACAAGGTGGGGACCTTTTTAGTCACACATGGGACAACTTTTCTTTATTAGTTTCCTGTCATTGTTTCTCACCTGGGTTACAGCTGAGTCCATCATCTTGCAGAGTAAATCTTGGGAAACACGAACACTTGTAAGATCCCACTGTATTGATGCACAGGTGCTGACAGAGCTCTCCAGGGTAGACAAGGCACTCATCCAGGTCATCTCCGGGTAAGCTATTAGACAGCTCAGCTTCATTACTGATGGACAAGGCTTCATTGTGATCCTCAATCTCTGAAACTATGAACATTCCGGCATCATTAAGCAAGGAAAGAATCTAGAGAATACTGCATGTACGGTCATTGTTGCTGTCTAGTACAGTATACTTGGCCATGGGGGGAAACCCCACCAGACACAGGGAAACCCACGGTAATCAGCTATTCAAGGGATTTAAAAAATTGTCCTAATAAAATGGCTCTTTAAGTAAACAATAATCAGAACTGTATAAGCTTTGAGGATGCAATTCTTTAAAGTGGCCACTGACTAAAGGAAGGACCTTAATGCACCATCCCTTTGTTTGCAAGGTCCACTATATTATTTGTATGACAATAGTGCCTAAAAGCCCAACTGAGACTGGGGACTGACTTTGTACAGAAGTGCATTGAGAGCCAGTCCCTGCCCTAGAAGCTCACAAACTAAAGAGACAAGCCACACCAAAGATGGGAAGGGAATCAGAAGCTCAGAGAAATCAAGTGACTTACTGTCATAGCTCAATCCCCCAACCTGACACTATGTGTGGAGAGATGAGGGGCTGGTTAGTAGAATAGCCACTGCAAAACCTGTCCCCATGATTCCCAGAGACAAACTTATTCAATCTCAGTTTCCCTGAGATCCAAAAAGAAAAACAAGACTGGTTCCTCGCTGCCACCATCCAAGTGACTCCAAGAAAGTCAGGGAAGAGATCGCTTGGGTAAAGCTCCAACCTTTGTATAGCTTGGAGATGGGAAAAAAGAGGGAATGCACAGACAACTATGGACTCTGCCCTTGTAACTAGGCACTTAATCCTAAGGCCACAACAATCAACAAATATCAGTTAATTAGAATAAAAAAAATTATTTTATTATCAAAACAAAAACTAATGTTGCAAGCATAGTAAATTGGCTAGGTGGAAAATAGCCACAATTTGATATATATATACTGAGGGAAAGTCCCTGGGCTGTAATCCTTAGTTACAAAAGAGAAAAACAATCAGACATGATTTCTAAATCCCCAAACAAGGAAAACAATAAACCCTGATGGACTATCTAAACTTTTCCCTGCTTACACATTTCAAGAAGTCCATTCTTGGAGAGAGAAAGCATCTCCCATCTCCCTTAATACCTGAGAGAAACTGCTCTGATCTCAAACAAAGAAGAGAGAGACAAAAAAAACTATATCCAATTCAAATTTCAACCCTCTCTCAACTGGTTCTCCAGGCCCCCTGGCTGACACCTTTGCTTGGTACCTGAGTTAACCCCTTAGCGACCGGGAGCTGGTCAGCACTCCCTCTCATCATGACACTTACCAAAACAAAAATAGAAGGTCAGTGAAAAAAATCAGAAAGAGAATCCAGGTCTTGAGTCCCAATCCAGGGCTCTATCCTGACTATCACTGCCCATTATAATTTTATCTTAGATAAAGTTACTGACATGCCTCCAGGGTAGGTATCTTGACCACCACTGTCAGTTTTGCTTGTGGACACTCTGTAAGCCCCAAGCCCTTAGGCCGTAGCAAACCTGTAGCTGCTGTGGTGTTCCTTTTCAAATCTCACTAACTTATTCTGTGATTGTGCAAAAATAAAATTCAGAACCCCTACAGACTCTAAAGCATGTTCATGTGTGCTCACATATTTAATGTTGTGTGCTACATCATTTCTGTGTTAAGAAACAATATTGAATATGAAACAAATGTCTAGCTCCTAGCACCTAATGTTTTAAAATAATTGAATTCCAACTCTTTGGAAACTCTTGAGGTTTTATCGGTTTTGTTTTTTTAAAGAAAAGCTGTCATCTGTGGGCTACTGTAATACGAAACAGCAGTGCTAATGATTCAGTGTGAACAACAACAAAATCTAATGGCAATCCCCTTCATAGCTTCTTTTTATTTTAATCCTCAGCCTACAGCATTTAACAATAAGACAATCCCCATAGTTTTGCTAAAGAAGAGATGCTTCCAGCCAATCAGAAAGGGGGAAAATGTGCTTGCTTCACATAAGTTCAGTATACCTACAGTACGTGACCAACCAGTGCTCTCTTATCCATTTTCCTATTCTTTCCACTTTGTCACTTACAAACTGATTTGGTGAGTCAAGTGTCTGAGAGGGAACATCGAGAGCAAAGAGTCCAGCATCTATTCATGTGCAGAGCTAAAGTTTTAAAAAGGGTACTGCTAAGAAGAGAATTTTCTGAAATCCTGCAGATAGTTTGAACAGATAACTCTACTGCATCGAAACTACTATTTTAACAGGTGTGTCCCTTTAAAGGGGAACTGTTTATGAGGATTCTGTTTCTGGAAGATATTTTAATGTATTACACAGATAACATATTTATCTAGCAGATGTTTTCTTTTGCTAGTCTACTTCCACTTGTTGACTGGAAATGCCTCTCTTTCTAATAGGTGTAATAGAGTATAACATTACTAAGGATTTAAAGGGGTTTTGATGTATTTTTGTGTGAGTTTTAGTTTAATGCTTAGAAAAAGAGTTTCCTTTCAAGGGGTCAGTTTCTTTACTAAGCATTTGTTTAAGATGGTGCTACTAAAATGCATTAAAAGTTAATTGTCAGAAAAACCAAATGCTACATTTTATGCATTTCAAAACAACAATTTAAGAAGCATTACAATAAAATATGGTAATTCTTCTGTTAGATTTGACAGGCCCAAATGAAGCCGTTAGAGAAGAGGGAGACAGAGCTTGAGCAGATTTAGGATGGAAACATCATGCCCACAAAGTACATGTGCAAGTATAACAGGTCTAGGAGTGCGGGGTCAGCATGCCCATTAGTGCCCCATCTACCTTGTCACCTGTTCTCCAGAGCCCTGATTCAGCAACACCATCCCTATTCAGCATAGCACTATATCCCATTAATATCCCATTCTGAAATCCCATTAACATCCACAGAACTTATGCACATGCTTAAAGTTAAGTATGTGCTGAATGCTGTGCTGAACTGGGCACGGAGGCTGTCCAGTGCCTGACAGGGTAGGGCAGGGCAGGGACAATAAGAACGCCTCCAAACATCTTGCTCTGGGGACGTGGCCCTCACCAAATCCATATCTACATGCTTAGGGACAAAGGGTACTACAGCACAGGGCTGGGTAGGGAGGCTGTCCAGTGCCTGACAGGGTAGGGCAGGGCAGGGACAATAAGAACGCCTCCAAACATCTTGCTCTGGGGACGTGGCCCTCACCAAATCCATATCTACATGCTTAGGGACAAAGGGTACTACAGCACAGGGCTGGGGAGGGAAAGCTCCTGCCTCCCTCTCCTCAGCCCCACAGCGACCTCTACTGGGGCAACAGAATGACCCCAAAGTAAAGTCAGAGATATTTTCCCTCTATGATTTTGTGTATGTAACACGGCAAACAACACGTAACTATTTAAAACGGGACTAGTTACAGCAGAGAGGCCTCAAACAAGTAGAGTTTTCTCTCCTCTCATGGCTGGAGGTGGCAAATCTTTTCAGTTCTATTCTACACAAGGGTGGACAGAAGTTGACATCCCATGATGCTAAAAACTCAAAGTGAACCTGAGGCTTTTACAAATAAAGGGGAATTTTTGTCAGCTTCAGGTACAGAACCAGCAAAAGCTTCATCCTTCTCCCAGTGGGCTATACCTTGCGAGAACCACAGCGGAATACCAGTTTTTAAAAGAAACAGGCTACTTATTAGATAGGGGCATGTGACCAGACAGTTGTCCAGCACTGGAATAGAAAGGGTTAAAACAGCCCTGAGAGAGGGCTGAGGCTGGACGCCAAGGAGGAGAAGGCTTGACACAGCCAATCAGAGTCTGGCAGGGCTGAATAAAAAGGTGGCTGCTCAGGAGTTCATTCTTGCTTCAGCTCTGGAGAGAGAAGGACCAAGCTGCCTGCTATCAGGAGAAACTTGGACAGAGCAGTGTTGGGTGAAGGCAGGGTGAAGCAGGGAAGCTCAGGGCCGGAGCAAATCCCTGGCTGAGGCCCAGTGACAGGGACCAGGGAGGTACTAGGGCTGGAGAGGAGCAGCCAGGACAGAAATAGGCAATAGGTCCAACCCTTCTTGTCAATTATATGGCGGCCAATTCAGACTGCAATTTGCCCGAGGACAGGGTTAGATGACAAATGGCAGTGGGTCACTGAGGCACATGGTATCTTAGGGGTGACTGGATTTCACTGGGAGGGGAGGACCTCAGAGTGTGGGTGCTGCTGCAGGGAAGTACCAGGTGGGATGTGGAGTCTGACAGGAATGGTGGAGAAAAGAGAAAAAGACAGGCAAAAGCGGCAAGACACAGCCAGGAGAGGATGCTCTGAGGCTGGACTGAGATAATTCCTGGAGTGACCAGCAGGAGGCACCACAGAGGTGAATCCTAAACTCCTATAGGGCAAAATTCAGAAGTGTTCATTGAAAACAAGGAGACCTGTTTCACCTTAAAGACTAAGGGTATGTCTACACTTGCAGCCTAATTTGAACTAGGGCTGCAAATGTAGGCATTCGGAATTGCAAATCAAGCAAGTATAGACATACCCTAACAGATTTAGTTGGGCATAAACTTTAATAGTGAAAAACCACATTGTCAGATGCATTTGATTAAGTGTTTTTTACCCATGAAAGCTTATGCCCAAATAAATCTTTTAGTCTTTAAGGTGTCACAGGCCACCTCATTGTTTTTTGTTGATACAGACTAACACAGCTACCCTCTGACATTTGAAGGAACTTATTTGTGCACAAAGGTTTGTTATATTTTCCCTAGTCCCACTGTAGGAATTTTCACATTAAAAAAAACTAATTTTCTCTACAGTTTAGATTTGAAGCTCTTTTCCTTTGGAAGGGCCCCTTTCTGTTCAAATATGGCCATACCCAGCCAAATTTCACTCCAAAGATGAGTTCTCCAGAATGACTTTTCCTCCTCAAAACAGCTCAGTTTTGAGTACCACGTGCAATGCAAGAAACACAAAATGCAAAATTACTCAAAAATAGTTACAAATGTTTTGCACATCTCTATTAGCAAGTTAACGCTAGCATGGCACAGAGAAGGGCCAAGAACCCTCAGCTGCTATTACTTAGTGTAGTACCATTAAGCCTAACAGAGGATCTGGCTCACACGCAAATACTTTAAAACTATGCAATGGATTTTTGCAACTTTTTGCATGCTGTAAGTATCTGAAGAATTAAACTACTGCTGCATCTACTATTGGATGCATTGACTATTGGATTAAGTCAATTACCTGCAATTAACATCCCTACTGTATAGTGAACAAGACTTTCGTACAGATTTTTGGAGATTTTTTGTGTTGGAATTCCCAGGAGCGTTGCAGATTTTCACATGAAAGCACTGAGAACATCAGGGTCACATTTTATGCCATCTTACTTTTTTAATTTCCATGTAAGTCTCCTGCCTTCCTTTCTTTTTTAAATGCTCAGTGTATTTTTTCCATACCATACACTACTACTCTGGAAAAAATCAAGGGTAGAATAACTCTCATCTTCTGCCCCAGGTGAAAACATACAAATGTTGTAATCTTTAAACCATTACATCTTAAAAGTCATTCCACTCTTTAAAGAAAAAAACGCATGAATTAATAAAAGCCTGTGAATTCTAGATTTCTGTTTCTTATTCACGTTCCACAGCTTTGAATGTCAGCAATGTGCATGTAACACAGCACTAGCTGCACTACTCAGTCCCTACACTGGTTTAAAATAGAATCATCCCACATCACGTGCAAGTTGGGAGAAGAGAATGAGAAAGAATTTGAAACCCAGATGTCTATCCAGAGGGACAATGGCTACTTGTTACTTACATATAACCGGTACCTGACAAAAAGTGTCAGAGGGGTAGACGTGTTAGTCTGTAACTCAAAAAACAAGTAGTCGTGTGGCATCTTAGAGACTAAAAAAAAAAAAATTATAAAATCATGAGCATTCATGAGTAAAACCCACTTTATCAGAAGATGAGCACTGACACCATGGGCGCTGACACACTGAAGTGCCTGACATATCATGCTGGAGAGAATATCATCTAGCAGTTACAGCTGGGGTGGGCAATCATTTTTGAAGGGGGGGCACTCCAAGATTTTGGATAGTGGTCAAGGGCTGCGCTCTTCCATATTAATGGAGGAGGTGTGGAGTCTGGGAGGGAGTTTGGATAAAGGAGGCAGTTGTGACCTAGGGCAGGGGACTGGGACGCAGGGTTTTGGTTTGTGATCTAGGGGAGAGGACAGGGGTGCAGGAGTTTGCGTTGTGACCTAGGGTAGGAGGGGACTGTGATCTAGGGCAGGGGATTGGGGTGCCAGATCTGGGAGGGGGTATGGGTGCAAGAGGGGGGCAGAGGGTTTGGGTATGTAGAATGGGGGGTAAGAGGGTTGGAGAAGGGAGGGACAGAGGTAGGCTTTGGACAGGAGACTTACCAGCCAGCACCCCAACCAGCCAGCCTGCCGGCAAAGCTAAATGCTTCCAGAGCTTAAAATGTTTCTCAGCCAGCCTGCCTGCCTGCCCCATGCCTACACAGGCTGCTGGGTCATGTGTTTGCGTGAATAACTGAACCAGGAGGGAGGGAAGTGTGCTACTTTGTGTGCTGCCTATTACTCAAACAGGCAACTCCCATTGGCCAGTTTCTGGCCAGAAACCGGCCAATGGGATCGTGCTGGGGGCAGAGGCAGCACCTAAAGCTTTCCCCCCCTCCGCT